TACTGTTTAACACTGTTTGTATACCTGCAATTGCTTCTACCATTGTTTGTATACCTGTACTGTTTACCATTGTTGTATACCTGTACTGTTTACCACCGTTTGTATACCTGTACTGTTTACCACTGTTTGTATACCTGCACTGTTTACCATTGTTTGTATACCTGTACTGTTTACCACTGTTTGTATACCCGCACTGTTTACCATTGTTTGTATACCTGTACTGTTTACCACTGTTTGTATAGCTAACTGTTTACCACTGTTTGTATAGCTGCAACTGTTTACCATTGTTTGTATACCTGTACCGTTTACCATTGTTTGTATACCTGTACCGTTTACCACTGTTTGTATAGCTTCGCACTGTTTACCATTGTTTGTATAGCTGCACCTCGTTTACCATTGTTTGTAAATTGTACTGTTTACCATTGTTTGTATACCTGCAAATTGCTTCTACTCACTGTTTGTATACCGTACTGTTTACCACTGTTTGTATACCTGTACCTGTTTACCACTGTTTGTATACCTGTACTGTTTCCTTACCATTGTTTCCCTGTATACCCGTACTGTTTACTCATTGTTTGTATACCCGGTAATTGTTTACCTCAACACTGTTTGTATAGCCAGTAACTGTTTACCATTGTTTGTATACCTGTACTGTTTACCACTGTTTGTATACCTGTACTGTTTACCATTGTTTGTATACCTGTACTGTTTACCATTGTTTGTATACCTGTACTGTTTACCACTGTTTGTATACCTGTACTGTTTACCACTGTTTGTATACCTGTACTGTTTACCATTGTTTGTATACCTGCACTGTTTACCATTGTTTGTATACCTGTACTGTTTACCACTGTTTGTATAGCTGCACTGTTTACCATTGTTTGTATACCTGTACTGTTTACCATTGTTTGTATACCTGCACTGTTTACCACTGTTTGTATACCTGTACTGTTTACCACTGTTTGTATAGCTGCACTGTTTATATTGATGATCAACCAACCAACGATTTTACTGATTATCTCTATCAGTTATGGTTGGGTTAGGAAAACGGGTAAACAGAAAAACAACAGGACGACAACAACACAACAACAGGAAAAATTGAATAACAACAGAACGACAACAACACAACAACAGGAAAAAGAATAACAACAGGACGACAACACAACAGGAGAACAGAATAACAACAGAACGACAACAACACAACAATAGGAAAACAGAATAACAACAGGACGACAACAACACAACAACAGGAAAACAGAATAACAACAGGACGACAACAACAGCAAAACAACACGACGAACTCACGCCAGGGTTGTCATGGTAACCCCAGTGACGGGAAGACGCTAGGTACAGGAGTCAGGAGAGATTGTGAGAGCCTGGGAGAGATTGTGAGAGCCTGGGAGAGATTTGAGAGCCTGGGGGAGATTGAGAGAGCCTGGGAGAGATTGTGAGAGCCTGGGGGAGATTGTGAGAGTCTGAGGAGAGGTGGAGAGCCTGGGGAGATTGTGAGAGCCTGGGGGAGATTGGTGAGCCTGGGGAGATTTGAGAGCCTAGGGGAGATTGGAGAGCCTAGGGGAGATTGTGAGAGTCTGAGGAGAGAGGTGGAGAGCCTGGGGGAGAATGTGAGGGCCTGTGGGAGATTGTGAGAGCCTGGGGAGATTGTGAGAGAATGGGGGAGATTGTGAGGTCTGAGGAGAGAGTGGAGAGCCTGAGGGGAGATTGAGAGCCTGGGAGAGATGTGAGAGCCTGGGGGGAGATTGTGAGAGCCTGGGAGAGATTGTGAGAGCCTAGGGGAGATTGTGAGAGTCTGAGGAGAGAGTGGAGAGCCTGGGGGAGAATGTGAGGGCCTGGGGAGATTGTGAGAGCCTGGGGAGATTTGAGAGAATGGGGAGATTAGAGTCTGAGGAGAGAGTGTGAGAGCCTGAGGGGAGATTGTCAGAGCCTGGGGAGATTGTAGAGCCTGGGAGAGATTGTGAGAGCCTGGGGAGATTGAGAGCCTGGGGAGAGATTGTCAGAGCCTGGGGGAGATTGAGAGCTTGGGGGGAGATAGAGTCAGGGGAGATTGTGAGTCAGGGGGAGATTGTGAGTCAGGGGAGATTGTCAGAGCCTGGGAGATTGTGAGTCAGGGGGAGATTGTCAGAGACTGGGGAGATTGTGAGAGTCTGGGGGAGATTAGAGTCAGGGGAGATTGTCAGAGCCTGGGGGAGATTGTGAGTCAGGGGAGATTGTCAGAGCCTGGGGGAGATGTGAGAGTCTGGGGGAGATTTGAGTCAGGGGGAGATTGTCGGAGCCTGGGGAGATTGTGAGAGTCTGGGGGAGAGTGAGAGTCAGGGGGAGATTGTGAGAGCCTGGAAGGAGATTGTGAGAGCAGGGGAGATTGTGAGAGTCAGGGGAGAGATTGTGAGAGCCTGGGGGATATTGTGAGTCAGGGGGAGAGTGTGAGAGCCTGGGGAGATTGTGAGAGCCTGGGGAGATTGTGAGTCAGGTGGAGATTGTGAGAGTCAGGAGGAGATTGTGAGAGCCTAGGGGAGATTGTGAGTCAGGGGAGATTGTGAGAGCAGGGAGAGTGTGAGAGCCTGGGGGAGATTGTGCGAGCCTGGGGGATTGTAGAGAGTCGAGAGGAGATTGTGAGAGTCAGGAGGAGATTGTGAGAGTCAGGAGGAGATTGTGAGAGTCAGGGGGAGATTTGAGAGTCAGGAGAGATTGTGGAGAGCCTGGGGAGACTGTGAGAGCCTGGGAGAGATTGTGAGAGCCTGGGAGAGATTAGAGAGCCTGGGGGAGATTGTGAGAGTCTTGAGAGATTGTGAGAGCCAGAGAGAGAATGAGAGAGAGAGAGAGAGGTTAAAAGCAGTAAATTTCTTTTAGGGTTAGGTTAGGTTAGGTGAAATGGAAGGATATATGTTGACGGGCGTGAATTTAGACGCCATTAACGAAGCCAATTTAACCTAACCTAACCTAACCTAACCTAACTTAACCTAACCTAACTTAACCTAACCTAACTTAACCTAACCAAACTTAACCTAACCTAACCTGACCCTACCTAACCTAACCTAACTTAACCTAACCAAACTTAACCTATCCTGACCTGACCTGACCTGACCTAACCTAACCTAACTTAACCTAACCTAACCTAACCGAACCAAACTTAACCTAACTTAACCTGACCTGACCTAACCTAACCTAACTTAACCTAACCAAATTTGACCTGACCTGACCTGACCTGACCTGACCTGACCTGACCTGACCTAACCTAACTTAACCTAACCTAATTTAACCTGACCTGACCTAACCTAACTTAACCTAATCTAACTTAACCTAACTAAACTTAACCTAACCTAACCTAACCTAACCTAACTTAACCTAACCTAACCTGAGCTGACCTGACCTGACCTGACCTGACCTGACCTGACCTAATTCTAACCTAACCTAGCTAAACCTAACCTAACCTAACCTGGGGTGTCTAATCTTCACGTAATTTGAAAAACTTTTAAGGTAGTCTCAGCGCAGTGATGACGTCATTGTGGATATCATTTATAGGCCTTATTCAGCCCCATGGTCCCTTATACATCTCCCATGGTCCCTTATACACTCCCATGGTCCCTACAGCCCCATGGTCCCTTTAAAGCCCCATTTTCCCATATACAGCCCCATGGTCCCTTATACAGCCCCATGGTCCCTTATACAGCCCCCATGGTCCCTATACAGTCCCCCCAGGTCCCTTATACAGCCTCCATGGTCCCTTATACAGCCTCGTGGTCCCTTTACAGCCCCATTTTCCCATATACAGCCCCCATGGTCCCTATACAGCCCCATGGTCCTTATACAGCCCCCATGGTCCCTTATACAGCCCCCATGGTCCCTTATACAGCCCCGTGGTCCCTTATACAGCCCCATGGTCCCTTATACAGCCCCCATGCTCCCTTATACAGCCCCCATGGACCCTTATACAGCTCCCATGGTCCCTTACGCAGCCCCGTGGTCCCTATACAGCCCCATGGTCCCTTATACAGCCCCCATGCCCCTTATAAGCCCCCATGGACCCTTATACAGCCCCCATGGTCCCTTATACAGCCCCGTGGTCCTTTATACACCCCCATGCCCTTATACAGCCCCCATGGACCCTTATACAGCCCCCATGGTCCCTTATACAGCCCCGTGGTCCCTTATACAGCCCCATGGTCCCTTATACACCCCCATGGTCCCTTATACAGCCCCCATGATCCCTTTACAGCTCCCATGGTCCCTTACGCAGCCCCGTGGTCCTTATACAGCCCCATGGTCCCTTATACAGCCCCCATGGTCCCTTATACAGCCCCCATGGACCCTTATACAGCCCCATGGTCCCTTATACAGCCCCCGTGGTCCTTATACAGCCCCATGGTCCTTATACAACCCCATGGTCCCTTATACAGCCCCCATGGTCTACGCAGCCCCCATGGTCCTTATACAGCCCCCGTGGTCCCTTATACAGCCCCATGGTCCCTTATACAACCCCCATGGTCCTCTATACAGCCCATGGTCCTTATACAGCCCCATGGACCTTATACAGCCCCCCATGGTCCCTTATACAGCCCCCCGTGTCCCTTATACAGCCCCATGGTCCCTTATACAACCCCATGGTCCTTATACAGCCCCCATGGTCCCTTATACAGCCCCCATGGACCCTTATACAGCCCCCATGGTTCCCTTATACAGCCCCGTGGTCCCTTATACAGCCCCATGGTCCTTATACAACCCCCATGGTCCCTTATACACCCCATGGTCCCTTATACAGCCCCTATGGTCCTTATACAGCCCCATGATCCTTATACAGCCCCCATGGTCCTTATACAGCCCCATGGTCCCTTATACAGCCCCCATGATCCTTATACAGCCCCCCATGGTCCCTTACGCAGCCACATGGTCCCTTATACACCCCATGGTCCTTATACAGCCCCCATGGTCCCTTATACAGCCCCCATGGTCCCTTATACAGCTCCATGGTCCCTTATACAGCCCCCATGGTCCCTATACAGCCCCCATGGTTCCCTTATACAGCCCCCATGGTTCCTTATACAGCCCCCATCGTCCTTATACAGCCCCATGGTCCCTTATACAGCCCCATGGTCTTATACAGCCCCTATGGTCCCTTATACACCCCCCATGGTCCCTTATACAGCCCCCATGGTCCCTATACAGCCCCCATGGTCTTACGCAGCCCCATGGTCCCTTATACAGCCCCCATGGTCCCTTATACAGCCCCCATGGTCCCTTACGCCCCATGGTCCTTATACAGCCCCCATGGTCTCCTTATACAGCCCCCATGGTCCTTATACAGCCCCCATGGTCCCTTATACAGCTCCATGGTCCTCTATACAGCCCCCATGGTCCCTTATACAGCCCCCATGGTCCCTACAGCTCCATGGTTCCCTTATACAGCCCCCATGGTCCCTTATACAGCCCCCATGGTCCCTATACAGCCCCCATGGTTCCTTATAGCCCCCATCGTCCCTTATACAGCCCCCCATGATCCCTATACAGCCCCCATGGTCCCTTATACAGCCCCCTGGTCCCTTATAACCCCACATCCTTATACAGCCCCCATGGTTCATTATACAGCCCCCATGGTCCTTATACAGCCCCCATGGTTCTTATACACCCCCATGGTCCTTATACAGCCCCCATGGTCCTTATACAGCCCCCATGGTCCCTATACAGCCCCCATGGTTCCTTATACAGCCCCATGGCCCTTACACAGCCCAATGGGCCCTTATACAGCCCCCATGGTCCTTACACAGCCCCATGGGTCTTATACAGCCCCCATGGTTCCTTATACAGCCCCATGGTCCTTACACAGCCCCATGGTCCTTATACAGCCCCCATGGTCTCCTTACACAGCCCCATGGTCCTTATACAGCCCCCATGGTCCCTTATACAGCCCCCGTGGTCCCTTATACAGCCCCCATGGTCCATTATACAGCTCCCCATGGTCCCTTATACAGCCCCCATGGTCCCTACACAGCCCCATGGTCCACACAGCCCCTATGGTCCCCCCTCCCCTGAGTGCGTGGTCATCCCCCTCCTCGGCCATAAAAACCAACCCATTGTCTGCTTACACGCCTCATAACCTCACTCTCCTCTCACAATTCCACACTTTTTCCCTCCACTATCCGACCTTCCACTATTCCCCATCCTCTCTCCCTCCCCCTTCTTCTCACTATCCCCCTTATCCTCTCCTTACAGACCTTAACCCTCTACCGTGATCAAAGCTAATCTGATAAGACCAAAGGACGGGGCGATGTGTGTGTGTGTGTGTGTGTGTGTGTGTGTGTGTGTGTGTGTGTGTGTGTGTGTGTGTGTGTGTGTGTGTGGAGAATGACAAGATGGCGGTAGTGTGTGGAAGGTAGGTCTCCATATCCAGTTTCGCCACAGGTCCCTCAGGTCCGCCAGGCCACCAGGTCCTCACATACCCCCCAGGTCCCGACAGGTCTTTCCAGGCCCGGCCAGGCCCCAGGTCTCAGGTCCAGCAGTGTCCAGGTCCCCGTCAGGTCCCAGGGCAACGCCAGGTCCCCAGGTTCATTTGTAAGCAAGGCCTTCTCCATCCCACAGGTCGGCCAGGTCCCCCAGCGTCCCCAGCCCATCAGGTTACCCACGATCCTGGCCAGGTTTCCCGTCAGGCCCAGGTCCTGCCAGGTCCCCCGGGTGGCGATACAATGGAAGGTCTTGGCCATAATACATGAGGGTAATATGTTGGATACTGGGGGGGAGGGGAGGGGGAGGGGGGGAGGAGGGAGGGGTGGAGGAGGGGAGAGGAGGAGGAGGAGGGAGGATGGAGGAGGGGTGATGGAGGACGGAGAGGAAGGAGGGAAGATGAAGGAGGGAGGATGGAGGAGGGAGGGTGGAGGAGGGAGGGGGAGGAGGGAGGGTGGAGGAGGGAGGATGGAGGAGGTGAGTGGAGGACGGAGAGTGAAGGAGGGAAGATGAAGGAGGGAGGGTGGAGGAGGGAGGATGGAGGAGGGGAGGGTGGGAGGAGGGAGGAGGACGGAGTGGAGGAGGGAGGATGGAGGTAGGAGGAGGGAGGTGAAGAAGAGGAGGGGTGAAGGAGGGAGGGGGGAAGAGGAGGGAAGGGTGGAGGAAGAGGAGGAAAATGGAGGAGGGTGGAGGAAGAGGAGGAAAATGGAGGAGGAGGTGAGGGAGGAGAATGGAGGTAAAGGGAGGGAGAGAGAGAGAGGGGGGGCAGGAGGGGAGAGTAGAGAGAGGAGAGAAAGGCAGGAGGGGGGGAGAGAGAGAGAGGGGAGAGAGGGGGCAGGAGGGGGGAGAGTAGAGAGAGGAGAGAATGGGGCAGGAGGGGGAGAGAGAGAGGAGAGAAAGGGGCAGGAGGTAGAGAGAGAGGAGAGAAAGGGGCAGGGAGGGGAGAGTAGAGAGAGGAGAGAGGGGGGCAGGGAGGAGAGAGAGAGAGGGGGCAGGAGGGGGAGAGAGAGAGAGGAGGAGAGAAAGGGCAGGAGGGGGAGAGAGGAGAGAGAGGCAGGAGGGGAGAGAGAGAGAGAGGAGAGAATGGGCAGGAGGAGAGAGAGAGGAGGGAAGGAGGAGAGTAGAGAGAGGAGAGAGGCAGGAGGGCAGAGGAGAGAGAGAAAGGCAGGAGGGAGAGTAGAGAGAGGAGAGAGGGGGCAGGAGGGGAGAGTAGAGAGAGGAGAGAAAGGGGGAGGGGGAGAGTAGAGAGAGGAGAGAAAGGGCAGGAGGGGTATAGTAGAGAGAGGAGAGAAAGGGGCAGGAGGGGGAGAGTAGAGAGGAGAGAGGGGGGCAGGGGAGGAGAGAGAGAGAGGGGGCAGGAGGGGAGAGAGAGAGAGAGAAAGGGGCTGAGGGGAGAGAGAGAGAGGAGAGAAGAGAGGAGAGAGAGAGAGGGGCAAGAGTGAGAAAGGAGGAGAGAAAGGGCAGGAGGAGAGGAGAGAGGAGGAGAGAAAGGGGCAGGAGGGGAGAGAGAGAGAGGGAGAGAGGGCAGGGAGGAGAGAGAGGGGGGGGCAGGAGGGGAGAGAGAGAGAGAGAGAAAGGGCAGGAGGGGAGAGTAGAGAGAGGAGAGGGGCAGGGGAGGGGGAGAGTAGAGAGAGGAGAGAAAGGGGCAGGAGGAGAGAGAGAGAGAGGGAGAGAGGGGGAGGGAGGAGAGAGAGAGAGAGGGGGGCAGGAGGGGGGAGAGAGAGAGGAGAGAGGGGGCAGGGAGGGAGAGTAGAGAGGAGAGAGGGGGGCAGGAGGGAGAGAGTAGAGAGAGGAGAGAGGGGGCAGGAGGGGGGAGAGAGAGAGAGAGAGAGGAGAGAAAGGGGCAGGAGGGGGAGAGAGAGAGAGGGAGAGAGGGGGGGCAGGGGAGGGGAGAGAGAGAGAGGGGGGGCAGGAGGGGAGAGAAGAGAGAGGAGAGAAAGGGGCAGGAGGGGAGAGAGAGAGAGGAGAGAGAGGGGGGGCAGGGGAGGGAGAGAGAGAGAGGGGGGGCAGGAGGGGAGAGAGAGAGAGGAGAGAAAGGGGCAGGAGGGGGAGGAGTAGAGAGAGGAGATAAAAGGGAAGAGGGGGAGAGAGAGAGAGGAGAGAAAGGGGCAGGAGGGAGAGGAGTAGAGAGAGAGGAGAGAAAGGGGCAGGAGGGGAGAGTACAGAGAGGGAGAGAGGGGGCAAGAAGGGGAGAGAGAGAGAGGGGAGAGAAAGGGGCAGGAGGAGGAGAGGCAGAGAGGAGAGGGGGGCAGGAGGGGGAGAGTAGAGAGAGAGGAGAGAAAGGGGCAGGAGGAGGAGAATAGAGAGAGGAGAGAGGGGGGCAGGAGGGGGAGAGAGAGAGGAGATGGGGGGGGCAGGAGAGGGAGAGAGAGAGGAGAGGGGGGGCAGGAGGGGGGAGAGAGAGAGGGAGATGGGGGGGGCAGGAGGGGAGAGTAGAGAGAGGAGAGAAAGGGCAGGAGGAGGAGAGACAGAGAGAGAGAGGGGGCAAGAAGGAGGAGAGAGAGAGGAGAGAAAGGGGCAGGAGGAGAGAGACAGAGGAGGAGAGAGGGGGCAAGAGGGGGAGAGTAGGAGAGAGAGAAAGGCAGGAGGGGAGAGAGAGAGAGAGAGAGGGGGGGCAAGAGGGGGAGAGTAGAGAGAGGAGAAAGGGGCAGGAGGGGGGGAGAATAGAGAGAGAGAAAGGCAGGAGGGGAGAGAGAGAGAGGAGAGAGGGGGCAGGAGGAGAGAGAGAGAGGAGAGAAAGGGGCAGGAGGGGGAGAGTAGAGAGAGGAGAGAGGGGGGCAGGAGGGGGAGGAGAGAGAGGAGAGAAAGGGGCAGGAGGGGAGAGAGAGAGGGAGAGAGGGGCAGGAGGGAGAGAGTAGAGAGGGGGGCAGGAGGGGGAGAGTAGAGAGAGAGAGAGGGGAGGGAGGGAGAGAGAGAGAGAGGGGGGCAGGAGGGGGGAGAGAGAGAGGAGAGAAAGGGGCAGGGAGGGGAGAGAGAGAGAGGAGAGAAAGGGGCAAGGAGGGGGAGAGAGAGAGAGGAGAGAAAGGGGCAGGAGGGGGGAGAGAGAGAGGAGAGAGGGGGGCAGGGGAGGGGAGAGAGGGGGGAGGGGAGGAGAGAGAGAGAGAGGGAGAGAGGGGGGCAGGAGGGGGAGAGAGAGAGGAGAGAGGGGGCAGGAGGGGGAGAGTAGAGAGGAAAGGGGCAGGAGGGGGGAGAGAGAGAGAGGGGGGCAGGGGGGGAGAGAGAGAGAGAGGAGAGGGGGGCAGGAGGGGAGAGTAGAGAGAGGGGAGAGAGGGGGGCAGAGGGGAGAGAAGAGAGATGAGAGAAATGGGCAGAGGGGGGAGAGTAGAGAGAGGGAGAGAAAGGGGCAGGAGGGGAGAGAGAGAGAGGAGAGAGGGGCAGGAGGGGGAGAGTAGAGAGAGAGGAAAGAGGGGCAGGAGGGGAGAGGAGAGAGAGAGAGGGGGCAGGAGGAGAGAGAGTAGAGAGAGGAGAGAGGGGGGCAGGAGGGGGAAGAGTAGAGAGAGGAGAGAAAGGGGCAGGAGGGGGAGAGGAGAGAGAGGAGAGAGGGGGTAGGAGGGGAAGAGTAGGGAGAGGAGAGAAAGGGCAGGAGGGGAGAGTAGAGAGAGGAGAGAAAGGGGCAGGGAGAGGAGAGTAGAGAGAGGAGAGAAAGGGAGGGAGGGGGAGAGTAGAGAGAAGAGAGAAAGGGCAGGAAGGGAGAGTAGAGAGGAGAGGGAGAGGGAGAGTGAGGAGAAAAAGGGGCAACAGGGGAGAGAGAGAGAGGAGAAAGGACGGGGGGGAGAGAAAGAGGAGAGAAAGGGGCAGCAGGGGGAGAGTAAGAGAGGAGAGAAAGGGGCAGGAGGGAGTAGAGAGGGGGAAAAGGGGGAGGGAGAGTAGAGAGGAGAAGGGCAGAATCACACCTGAGACTCGACCGTAGCTTGATGCGATCTCTTACCCATGGCTGAGATGAGGAGGTAGAGGTAGTGAAGGAGGAGGAAGAGGAGGTAGACAAAGAGATGGAGAAGGTGGTAGAAGAGGAGGAGGTGAGAAGGAGGGCCGGGTAAGAGGGGGAGGATGTAGAGGAGGAGGAAGAGGTACCTGTAGTGATAGAACACGTGTACAGGTGTGACCAAGAGTGAGGCTTAATTACCTCTGATAAACCAACCTGCGGCAGGTGTGTGTGTGTGTGTGTGTGTGTGTGTGTGTGTGTGTGTGTGTGTGTGTGTGTGTGTGTGTGTGTGTGTGTAGAATTAACGGGTTCTACACGAGTAAACACACACACACACCTACATCTCCAGCAAACACACACGATAACAACTGTCAACAAGTCATCAACCATAGGAACAGCTGAAGTCTCATTCCTTGGTTTACAGACTGTCTTAGTGAAGGTTGCCATGCTGTTCGCCTCACAGGGACCAGCTCCACCTGTCAGTCGACCACCCACAGCGTCGTTCCTCAGAGACATGGGTCATCTCTTCTTCCTCTTGCTCGTCAACAGCGTCCTGCAGGATACTCCCCATTGACAACACGCGTCCTGATTGCAGCGCCCGCCAGAACACCCATAAACCAACCTTGTTCCCGTCACCCATACCGAGAGTATAGTTACGTATACAGTATATTAACATCCTCTGATCATGTCCCTCCACGTCACTGATGACAAACTGAGCCTCAAAAAACTCTTCAGTACTTTCCCCAGATCTTACAAACATCGTCTCCAGGACCTTGGTCGTGTTGCGTTTAAACTTAACATTTACTCAATCTTCATACCTCCCAGAATCACTCACGCTCCCCTGTCTGGTCTTAACACAACGGGGACTTGTGGGGTGAGAGGAGAGTGCGTGCAGACATGACCCATCTTTCTCACTCTACCTATCAAGAGGCGCGCACTACACTGCTCCTCTTAACTTCTTATTAAAAATCATCTTGAACAAATCTGTCAGTCCGGAAAAGCGCGCACCACTATCACCGCCGCCGCCGCCACCAACCTTCTGTCACCTAAGGCTTCTCGCCCACGAATACTGTTCGACACCACAACAGATCAGACAGACGAACACACACACACACACACACACACACACACAAAACACACACACACACACACACACACACACACACACACACACACACACACACACACACACTGTAAAAATATTAAGCCAAACTATCATAAAAAATTAAGAATGTTGTGGAGTTTAAGTGAACAAGGTTGAGTGAAGGAGGAGGAGGAGGGTCGTGTTGGCTAAGATTACCACTCAGGTCAGTACTCATCACTTACTGCTACCTGTCAGCTCACCTCACCTGAGTTTACCTTCTCTTACAGTTTACCTCCACCTATAGTTTAGCTCCACTTATAGTTTAGCTCCACCTATAGTTTACCACCTTATAGTTTAGCTCCACCTATAGTTTAGCTCCTATAGTTTACCTCCTTATAGTTAGCTCGACCTATAGCAGCTCACCTATAGTTTAACTCCACCTATAGTTTAGCTCCACCTATAGTTTACCTCCTTATAGTTTAACTCCACCTATAGTTTAGCTCCACCTATAGTTTACCTCCTTATAGTTTAACTCCACCTATAGTTTAGCTCCACCTATAGTTTACCTCTTATAGTTTAGCTCCAAATATAGCTTACCACCTTATGTTTAGCTCCACCTATAGTTTAGCTCACCTATAGTTTAGCTCCACCTATAGTTTACCTCCTTATAGTTTACCTCCACCTATAACTTAGCTACCTATAGTTTAGCTCCACCTATAGTTTACCTCATATAGTTTACTCACACCCTATACTTTTAGCTCCACCTATAGTTTACCTCCTTATGTTTAGCTCACCGATAGTTTACCTCCACCTGTTTACCTCCACCTGCAGTTTACCTCCTTATATTTTAGCTCCACCGATAGTTTACCTCACCTATGGTTACCTCCTTATGTTTAGCTCCACCTATAGTTTACCTCTTATAGTTTAGCTCACCGATAGTTTACCTCCACCTATAGTTTACCTTCTTATGATGCGCCACCTATAGTTTACCTCACCTATAGTTTACCTCCACTATAGTTTTTACTCTTATAGTTTAGCTCCACCGATAGTTTCCTCCACCTATAGTTTACCTCCTTATAGTTTAGCTCCACCTATAGTTTACCTCCTTATAGTTTAGCTCACCGATAGTTTACCTCCACCTATAGTTTACCTCCTTATAGTTTACCTCCACCTATAGTTTACCCACACCTATGTTTACCTCACCTATAGTTTACCTCCACCTATAGTTTGCCTCCTTATAGTATAGCTCCACCTATAGTTTACCTCCTTATAGTTTAGCTCACCTATAGTTTACCTCTTATAGTTTAGCTCCACCTATAGTTTACCTCCTTAGTTTAACTCACCTATAGTTTAGCTCCACCTATAGTTTACCTCCTTATAGTTTACTCACCTATAGTTTAGCTCCACCTAGTTTACCTCCTTATAGTTTGCTCCAAATATAGCTTACCACCTTATAGTTTAGCTCCACCTATAGTTTAGCTCACCTATGGTTGCTCACCTATAGTTTAGCTCACCCTGTTTTCCTTATAGTTTAGCTCCACCTATAACTTAGCTCCACCTAGTTTAGCTCACCTATAGTTTACCTCCTTAGTTTACCTCCACCTATACTTTTAGCTCCAATCCATAGTTTAGCTCACCGATAGTTTACCTCACCTATAGTTACCTCCACCATAGTTTCCTCCTTATAGTTTAGCTCCACCGATAGTTTACCTCCTATCACTCCTATAGTTTAGCTCCACCTATAGTTTACCTCCTTATAGTTTAGCTCACCGATAGTTTACCTCCACCTATAGTTTACCTCCTTATAGATTAGCTCACCTATAGTTTACCTCACCTATAGTTTACCTCCACCTATAGCTTACCTCATATAGTTTGCTCTCACCGATAGTTTACCTCCACCTATAGTTTACCTCTATGAGTTTACCTCCACTATGGTTCCTACCTATAGTTTACCTCCACTATAGTTTACCTCACCTATAGTTTACCTCCTTATAGTTTAGCTCACCTATAGTTTACCTCCTTATAGTTTAGCTCACCTAGTTTACCTCCACCTATAGTTTACCTCCATATAGTTTACCTCCACCTATAGTTTACCTCATATAGTTTACCTCCACCTATAGTTTACCTCCCATACTCCACCTATAGTTTACCTCCAACCTCCACGTTTACTCCTATAGTTTACTCACCTATAGTTTAGCTCTTATAGTTTACCTCCACCTATAGTTTACCTCCACCTATAGTTTACCTCCTTATAGTTTAGCTCCACCTATAGTTTAGCTCCACCTATAGTTTGCTCCTTATAGTATAGCTCCACCTATAGTTTACTCCTTATAGTTTACCTCACCTATAGTTTACCTCCTTATAGTTTACCTCCACCTATAGTTTAGCTCCACCTATAGTTTACCTCACCTATAGTTTTACCTCCTTATAGTTTACCTCCACCAGTTTACCTCCACCTATAGTTTACCTCCTTATAGTTTAGCTCCCGCAAATAGTTTACCTCCACCTATAGTTTACCTCCTTATAGTTTAGCTCCTATAGTTTACCTCCTTATAGTTTAGCTCCACCGATAGTTTACTCCTATAGTTTACCTCCTTATAGTTTACCTCCACCTATGTTTAGCTCTTATAGTTTACCTCCACCTATAGTTTACCTCCACCTATAGTTTACACTCCACCTATAGTTTACTCTTATGGTTGCTCACCTATAGTTTAGCTCCACCTATAGTTTGCCTCCTTATAGTATAGCTCCACCTATAGTTTACCTCTTATAGTTTACCTCACCTATAGTTTACACTCCTTATAGTTTACCTCCCACCTATAGTTTAGCTCCACCTATAGTTTACCTCCTTATAGTTTACCTCCACCTATGAGTTTACCTCCACCTATAGTTTGCTCCTTATAGTATAGCTCACCTATAGTTTACCTCCTTATAGTTTACCTCCACCTATAGTTTACCTCTTATAGTTTACCTCCACCTATAGTTTAGCTCACCTATAGTTTACCTCCTTATAGTTTAGCTCACCTATAGTTTAGCTCACCTATAGTTTAGCTCACCTAGTTTACCTCCACCTATAGTTTACCTCCTTATAGTTTACCTCCACCTATAGTTTACCTCCTTATAGTTAGCTCACCTATAGTTTAGCTCCACCTATGTTTAGCTCCACCTATAGTTTACCTCCTTATAAGTTTACCTCCACCTATAGTTTACCTCATATGGTTACCTCCACCTATAGTTTACTCCTATAGTTTACCTCCACCTATAGTTTAGCTCACCTATAGTTTACCTCCTTATAGTTTACCTCCACCATAGTTTCCACTCCTTATAGTTTACCTCCACCTATAGTTTACCTCCTTATAGTTTAGCTCCACCTATAGTTTACCTCCACCTATAGTTTACCTCCTTATAGTCTACCTCCACCTATTGTTTACCTCCACCTATAATTTACCTCCACCTATAGTTTACCTCCACCTATAGTTTACCTCCTTATAGTTTACCTCCACCTATAGTTTACCTCCTAATAGTTTACCCTCCACCTTAGTTTGCCTCCACCTATAGTTTAGCTCCACCTATAGTTTCCACCTATAGTTTAGCTTCACCTATAGTTTACCTCCACCTATAGTTTACCTCCACCTATAGTTTACCTCCACCTATAGTTTGCCTCCACCTATAGTTTAGCTCCACCTATAGTTTACCTCCACCTATAGTTTAGCTCCACCTATAGTTTACTCCACCATAGTTTAGCTCACCTATAGTTTACCTCCTATAGTTTACCTCCTTATAGTTTACCTCCACTATAGTTTACCTCTTATAGTTTTACACTCCACCTATAGTTTACCTCCACCTATAGTTTACCTCTTATAGTTTACCTCCACCTATAGTTTAGCTCCACCTATAGTTTACCTCCTTATGATTACCTCCACCTATAGTGTACCTCCACCTTAGTTTACCTCATATAGTTTACCTCCACCTATAGTTTACACTCCACTATAGTTTCTATAGTTTACCTCCACCTATAGTTTGCCTCACCTATAGTTTCCTTATAGTTTACCTCACCTATAGTTTACCTCCACCTATAGTTTTACCTCCTTATAGTTTACCTCCACCTATAGTTTACCTCCTTATAGTTTACCTCACCTATAGTTTCCTCCTTATAGTTTACCTCACATATAGTTTACCTCCTTATAGTTTACCTCCACCTATAGTTAACCTCCTTATAGTTTACCTCTATAGTTTACCTCCACCTATAGTTTACCTCCACCTATAGTTAGCTCCACCTATAGTTTACCTCCACCTAGTTTACCTCCACCTATAGTTTACCTCCACCTATAGTTTAGCTCACCTATAGTTTACCTCCACCTATAGTTTAGCTCACCTATAGTTCAGCTCACCTATAGTTTACCTCCACCTATAGTTTACCTCCTTATAGTTTACCTCCACCTATAGTTAGCTCCACTATAGTTTACCTCTTATACTTTACACTCCACCTA